AATCTATATATATTTTGCAGTTTATTTTGATCATTTAATTTTTTTTAAATTATACATAATATTTTGATTATCTATCATTAAAAGACTAATAGTGGTGTTAGTGTAGTATCACAAAATAGTATCACATTATCGTAAAATTATCACATTAACATTAGGTGTACTTAAAAAAAAGTTCAGTGATCAAAAACAAAACAACAAGAATAGGTTGATGACTAAATACACATTTTACCCTAATTTTTATATGTTTCAAAGTTGTTTTATATAGTACGAGGTTTGCATATAAATCTAAAAGATACGTTCCAAGTGCATCAATGACAACTTTACAGTAACGCTTTGCTTCCTGCTCTGTAATCCATGGATGCTTAAAGCCTTTGGTTCAACCCATAAATTATGTAAGTTCAAAGTTCATATCAAAAAATGGGGAAAACAATACACAATGTTCTCTGGTGCTGGCTTTCCTTCTACAAACAATGACAATCTAAATCCACTTTTAATAATAAAACCAAAATTTTATGCAAGAAACAGAAGAACAAAATCAAAGATGCAGACACTCGAAGAGATCTCATAAGGGTCTGCAACAGAGGCGTGGCTGGGGCGGCGCGAACTGCGCGACCGCGCAGGGCCCCAAAAAGTGAGGCCCAAAAAAAAAATATATATAGTGGCGTTTTTCCGATAAACACCACTATAGATAGACCTATTGCGACGTTTTTTCAAAAAAACGTCACTATTGTTTCCCCAAAATCCAATATATCTAAAAAAAATATGACCCCTTTATAAAAATTTATACATGACCCCCGAAAACCTAACCACGGGCCTCGTCTGCAAGCACACTGGCCTCAGAAAAATACGTGCTGAAAAAGAATGATCCCGGGGCTGTGGAAGGTTCCTTCCAACAGTACATGAGCAATCCGTGATAACTAGACGATCTAATCCAATCATCCTATTTTAGGAAAACTGCAAACAAACCACTTCTAGGGAACCTTTATTGCTGAATGGATTGCAAAACGTCGGAGACGACGATGATAAGGTCACCCGAGTGGATCATCTCTCTTGCTTTGAGCAAGGAGAAGGTCCTGTGAAGATTGCTCTCCACGTCATCTGAGAAATCAAGACGGAAAGGTATCAAACCCCACTGCAGGTTCAGGCACCTTCTGATGGAAGTTGAGGGTGTAAGTGCAAAGATTGGACAATCGGGCCGATTGCGGGAAAGAAGAGTCGCTGTCTCTCCGGTTTTCGTGTAAACAAAGATGGCATCCGCTTTGAGTTTGTTAGCTGAGAAAAAACATCTTGTTATTAGGAGGGAGAAATTGTCATGGAACACATCGACAAAACCACTGACAACAACTTAGTTTCATCAACATTTAGGGCAGCTAGAACTATAATACCTCTGTTAAAGATGGTACTGGATACAATCATCACACGATGATAGAGAATTATGAAATCATATTAAATTCAGCAGACGAGTTTAACAAAACGAAAACTGCTTGCTTACCCATTTGCGGAGCTGTATATCTCCTCAGAAATGCTAGGTGGGGTGGAAAATGACACAATTGAGGGATCTGTGCATCCAAGTGCTTCTCCTCCCGCCGCCATTTCTCAATTCTCAAACCGACGCATCTTAGTACAGCTAATGCCTTCTCAGGGAATTGACCCATGGCTGATTCACTGGAAAGCATTACAGCATCTGCCTGCTGCCGTACAGCTTCAGAAACATCGGCAACTTCTGCTCTGGTAGGTATGGGATATTCGATCATGGATTCAAGCAGCTGGGAGGCAACAATGACCGGCTTACCCAGTTTCCTGCACAGTTGAACAACCCTCTTTTGAACCGAGGGGACCTGTTCTATTCGTATCTGTGCACCTAGATCTCCCCTGGACACCATTGCTCCATCTGATGCCTAGATAATCTCTTCAAAATTTCTCAGAGAATCAATACTCTCTATCTTGGCAATGACACCAATTTGGCTGCAAAATTGAACCATAAGAACTTCTTACAGCAACATAGAAGTTTCAAAATTAGCCCTTAAAATTTTACAAACAAAACGTGTGTAGAACAAAAAGAAATATGATAGTGCATTTTGAATTTAGTTTTACATGTGAATCATTACCGTGACGGTACAAGTTTCTCAAATTTTGGTTGCAGGTTAAATTTAAAGCAATAAAATGTTATACAAGGTTACCTTCCCGGTTATCGAGCAGTGATATAGCTCTTTAAAGTCTTAATCGCTTCAGCAGAATTCATAAAACACACAGCAATAAAATCAACACCCTCGGCAATTCCAAAATCAATATCCAGCCAATCCTGCAAGCATCATAAATGTTTGAAAAAAATATACAAACTACTTTTGTTTTTTCTGGTAGAAAGTAAGAATCAAAATGGATAGCCCTTTGTAAAAGGCGTGGTGAATGCACGAAGGCAACGGCTTGATTGTTTGAAAGGTACCAGACCTTTGAAGATATTGTAGGAAGCATTGCATTGCGCTCCTGAACAAGGCTCCCGTTCCTCCAAAAAGTTAGATTAGCACGAGGTAATAACAGCCCGGGATCTGTACATTGGAAGATCACATCTGGACCAATCTTCTCGGTCACCACAAACCTCACCATTCCACCATCAACAAGCAGCTCATCACCAACCTTTACATCTACCACGAGTGATAAAAATTAATGCATTACTGCTTAATTCGACATGAAATAAACAAAACTGTGGTGAGTTTGAGCTGCAAAAGCAATGAAACAAAAGGTTGCATGGAAAAGATAACTCATGGTCGGAAAACAAAATAGTTAGATCAGCAAGTCAAGATGGTTATGGCTCAGACTGGCACTCAGAGCTCTTTCATTCCCACCGAAGGCGAAGATGCACGGCATGACAGTGACAGAAAGCACAACGTGGCTTGTGATTCAGCTTTAACTAAGCCCTGGTCGTTCATTGATAGTGTCATTATACAAATTTAATCACACAAAATCATAATAAGCTAAATTTAAACCAGATAATCCCCTACTAAAGTTATCCCAAAACGCAAAAGGACAAAGCTTTTGTTCTGTTCAATACTTAAACTGATCAAAGACTTAAAGGTGTCCCTTTTTTTTGGTATAATTAAACTAAATATAGCACATCTTGGAAGACGATTATTGGTTAATTCAATTGAAACAACATATAAAAAATTTACCTTCAGCAAAACCATCGTAGTTAACCGTAATGGTATGCTCAGGGCACGATGAAGGATCAAATATTCGCACAGTAAACGTCCATATCTCACTGTTCTGCAAAAAAAAAAAGTTTTAAGTTTAGCAATCACAGTTAACTATTAATTAAACTACCTTAAGACATCAATTAATTACCTCTGCTTTGGCAGATTCGGCACCATTTAGATCATCCATGTGGATCTCGCTACCTTCGGTGTCCATCATAACCGCCACGGCGAACCCTTTCTCTTCGTTTAACTGCCTCACCCGCCGGATTACGCCTCTGTGCCACTCGCGGGTGCCGTGGCACATATTGACACGCGCCACGTTCATTCCTCCCACGGCTAGAGCCTCGATCTCTTTGAACTCACACGTGCGGGGTCTGATGGTACACACGATCTTCGTCCTTCGTGTGCTCCTGAACCGTTCTCCTTCAAGTCCGTTTCTGTCACCAGGTCCACTTGCAATCCTGAAGCTCAGAAGCCGCCACTTTCACGTTTTCCGGTAAAACAACCCTAGAATGCGCGGTCTTCATTGGCTTTAAAAGTGGTATATTAGGCACGACAATCCGAGGACCGAAAAAACGCATTTTGGGGAGTTCCCGAGACTGCAACGGTTATAAAGAAGAAGATAAACGAAAGGACGCAGGCATATTATCCGACGAAGCAAAGGATCCGTTCTCCATTTTATTTGGAGATTACGAGGTGAAGCTGCGAGCCCGCGCCGGCTTGTTGAGAGAAAAAGGTTCTTAGAAAGGGGAGTTAGAATTTGTCAGCCCACTGACAAAAATATCCTTATTTTGCAAGTCTTTCGACTGCTATGTCCTTACAAAATGCAGTACCATTGGTCGATTCGCCGAAAGATATGGAGCTGTCGTTTGACCGTTGATGGAATGGATTCGGCTCGGTTTCGGTGTGGCCCATCTTATTCCGAATTTTACAGGTAAGGCTAAGCCCTTTCAGTCCAATATATGGAAACTCCAATAAAAAAATTTGAATTTATTCTCAATTTAATCAAAACTATTAATAATTTATATTAGAAATTATCATATAAAAGTAAAATATAAAAAAAGAAAACAATGAATTAAATTTTTTTCATGTTTTGTCTAATGTTGTGAAACGGTACTAAACAAATCAATTCAACATACCACAACAAAATCCCATCATCCACATTAACGACTATTAACTACAAAGGATCAATTTGTTATAAATCAATGATTTTAGGGACCAATTCATCACTTTTAAAACTTTAGTGATAAAAACAAAAACTTACTTAAAATTAGTAACCAATTTTGTAGTTTATCCTTTTAAATATTGGTGAATATATGAACTAAATTAAACAGAAGATGAATTTTAGAGTTCAAACTATGAAGCTTAATAAACTTAATGACTAGGGGTGTAATTGCACTATCTTTAAATATAAAAACAAACATGTTTACGAACGTTAAATGAACTGAACATGAATATAAAAATAACAAACAAACAAACCTTATATTAAAATTTAAATGAACACAAATAAAACATAAATATCTTTAAAATTATATAAATAAACACGAACATAATTTTAATCATAAACTTGATTCGATTTATTTACACGCCTACTTAAAAACTATCCCATTTCACCCTATTGAGTGGTCTAAGTCACGTGTTTCGTCCAACAGACGAATTAGGGTGGCAGTGAATTTTGGGGGAGAAAAAGGAAGAGTATTTGGCAATTAAAGTTGAAAACCCACGAAATTTTTTGAAATGTCGAAATCGAAGAATTTTCCCACCTAAAATTAGCCGCCATTAATTTTCCGGCATTTAAAATGATTATAAACCCAGAAATCCCATCCCATTGTTTCATATTTCCACTGTTTATTCACTTTAAGGCTTTCAACCACTCTAAAAGTCTCTCAGGTCTCTCTACCACAACCTTGTATTTTATATATTCATGTTTATAAGCTTCTGAGAATTTATCTTACTGCTCCCTGGATCTGATTAGTAGTTAACAGATCTGGGTTATATTAATGCTGTGTTGGTATTATTTTCACTTGTTTTTGTTTTTTTTCATATGTGAACGAAGATGGCCGGGAAAGGTGGAAAGGGGCTTTTGGCGGCGAAAACAGTCGCAACTAACAAGGATAAGGATAAGGACAAGAAGCGCCCGGTTTCTCGTTCGTCTCGTGCCGGAATCCAGGTGTTTCTCAGAATTTACTACCCATTTACTTGCTTTTCAGTTATACATGCTTGTTACCTTCGGATGACTTGGTTCATGAACTATAAAAAGAAGAAAAGGAGTAAATCGAGAAGGTGGACTCTGTGTTTGGTTTTGTCGGCTTGATAATTTAGATCTTTATACTTTTTATCGTAAATGATAAGAAGTAATTTGTCTCTCCAAATTTGTATATTACAAGAGTAGGCTTAGAAAAAGAAAGATTAAAGTTTGAAGTACTCGTGGTTGATGATTGAGACACTTGCAAGTTGTTCATATTTTTTTATGTCAAAACACTGATTATTCAAAATACCTGTTAGAGGGTTATGAATGCTAAAACAAAGGACAATTTACTCATATTTTGGCATATGAGTTTTGAATGACATAACTCTCAACCATTTGACATTAAAAGCTAGCACCCTTATATTCTTGATGCTTGAACATGAGATCTCAAGGAATAACAATAATTCTTTTACGACCAATGTTGTTTGGTTCTTATGAATGATATAGCTCTTGTTTTAGCCTTATGGGACAAAAAGCCTAGTTCTCCCTGTTCACTGTGTTTCATTCTATTTTTCTCTCGAGTTTTTTTTTGGGAAGATAAACAGGACTGATATAATCAATTCACAGCTTTACATAAGCTGAGACTTAGCTGAACAATGTATAGGTAGTTGGTTCATTCGACACATTGTAAGCAGCATCAGATTCATGCTTCTTTTGGGTAATGAAAGCACGTTCATCCATAAAAAAAGTATCTATACCCACGGTGTAGTTTTTAATCTTTAACCAGTTTTAATTGTTTCTGTATTATGAGTTAAATAAATTTACTAGGATTCTATGTACTTGGTTCATCTATTCATAGTTGTAGTCTTTGTTGTTTGCCTGGTAAGACTGTAGCAAATGAGGGTTTTCTTTCGACCTGGTATTTGTCATATGATTCTTGGTTGTTTGTACACAAGGCCCTCATACGCTTCACTGTTTCTTGTTATTAGTTCCCGGTGGGTCGTATCCACCGTCATCTCAAATCCAGGGCTTCTGCAAACGGGAGAGTTGGGGCAACAGCTGCTGTTTACTTGGCCTCAATCCTCGAATACCTGACGGCTGAGGTTCTCGAGTTGGCCGGAAATGCGAGTAAGGATCTGAAAGTGAAAAGAATCACCCCAAGGCATCTGCAGCTGGCTATTAGGGGGGATGAAGAGCTTGACACCCTTATCAAGGGCACCATTGCTGGAGGTGGTGTGATCCCTCACATTCACAAGTCCCTCATCAACAAGACCAGCAAAGAATAGAAATGCCTGATTTCAACTAGGTTTGGCTTTCCAGTACTTTTTATCTGTTGTGTCTTCTGTGTTATTTGTAGGCTTTGTTTAATCTGTCGAGAACATCTGGTTAGTATATACGATGCTAAGGTTTGTTCCTTTGAACTTATGGATTATGATCTTTGTTAGAGTAGGAATGGTGCCTGTCGGATACTTTTAACTATTGTTTCCTTGGAAATCTGTCTCTAAAGTTCTAATATGCCCATTTGACATGATTTATGGTAAAACATGAATATGTTAAAGATTTGAATAAAAATAAACAAGAGTAAATTTATATATTAATTAGTTAAAATAAATCGGGCCTGGTCTTATCCAATTTAAAGAGCTGCTTGTCTTTACTCCTTGAAGAGGTATAAGCATCCAGCCGGCTGTCCTCTTCACCAAGATTCCATATTTGCCATTTGGATCACATTCAAGCATAGATTTGGAACTGGTCTTTATATTCTTTAAACATTTGGGATTTAATTCTTCTATTTTTAATTATGAGGAGGCACTTCTTTTATTCTTTTAATTTAATAATTGAAGTTCAATTAGTAAGACTGTCCGGAGGATTTTTGTTAATTGAAGTTCAATTACTCATATTACCAATAATTTTAAGGGTAAATTATGTGTTTAGTATAAAAACTATCAGTTTTGGTTTGTTTTAGTACTTAAACTTTCAATTTTTTAAAACCATATCATATAATACAAATTAGCAAAATTCCTTTAACAATGCCATGAATTGAAATTCAATTATTAAATCAAACGAGTTTCTTGAAAGGGTATATTAGATACTTGAAATTCAATTACTACATCAAAAGAGTTTCTAAACTTGGCTCCAATTTTAAATTTATACTATTTTTTGTCCAATTAGTTACTTGAACTTGGTTTATTATACCAAATTAGTTCAAAAAAGGTAAGTATCAATATGCCAAAGTCTAGTACCAATTTGAATTAGTAAGTACATTTCAAATACCTAATTGGACAAAAAATATGTAACCATCAAATTGAATCTTGAAGCCGAGTTCAGGTATCAAATTACAGATTTATCCTTCTTGAAACTAAAAGTAGAGGGGTTAAATTTCATGTGCGCAAAGAATACAGGGACTGAAAGCTGAAATGGACCCTTTATTTAACACATTTCTAGTACGGGGCTGAATTACTTGGCCTAGAATTGACTTCCCTGTCCACTTGGTTTCGGTAAAAACGGCAGGGATGAACCGAGGAGCGAGTGGGCACTCGTTCCTTTAAATATTTAAAGTTATTATATATATTTTAGAATTTTTATATATGTTTTACTGAATTTTTTTTGTATTTTTAAAATTTTATAAGTTTAAGTTCGCCTTAAAAGAATTTATAAGTTCAAATTCGTTTCTTTAATTTAAAATTCTACGTCCGTCCTGTCATGTGTGATGATCATGAAGCCTTGAAATTTTCAATTTTTCCACTTGTACTAACTATCCTGTTAATAGCTCAGCATCTTTGTTTCCCAATACCAACAAAACAGCATCTTTAAACACCACCATGCCTTTGATTTTGGGCATTGCTAACGACTGCACAAGATTCCAAAAACCGTCCATATATACCAAAGTTCTCATAGCATTCTCCAAATATGCTCCACATGCACATTTTGTTCTTATATACTCACTACTTGTGCTAGTCCCCTCCATTCACATCAACATTTTACTTGTCTTTTCCTTTTTTTTTCATCAATGGAAGCTAAGTTAATTTGGCAAAGCCGGAGCCCCACCGTGTCGTCTTCGAGGCGAGCAGATAAGCGGCAGTGTCGTCTGGTTCATTCGGTGCTAGCTAGGCCGCTGGAGAATTTAGTTACGGAGAGGTTGAGGTTGAAGAAGTTAAAGCCTGCAGATAGCAAAGCTGGTAGCAGTGTACATAATGATAGCTGGTTTGATCTTTTGGCTATTAATTATCTATCCCAAAGTCTACAAGCTGCAACAGGTTCGTTTTCTATGGTTACTATGATTTTGTTTCTGTCGGAAGAAGAGATTGGATTTTGGAAAATGTTGAAAAATTGTGCATATATGCAGGGGTGAAGAGCATGTCGAGTGGGTACGAGAGCTTGGTGGAGACGACGGCGATGATGTCGAAGAGATTCAATACTAAAACGCAACAGAAGCTTGTCGTTAAAGCTCTTGACAGTGCCATCCCCAAGTTCATTCTAGACATGGCAAGTTCATTTCCACTGCTGGTTTACCCTATTCTAAATGCATGGAACATACATGAGTTCTCATACAAAACAACAATGGCGTTTTAGAGAGAAAAAACCCAACCCAGAAATGTGATGCTTTCATGTTGGTTTACGTTCATATTAGGGGTCGACTGCTCCCATAAAATGATTCCCTGCCTGTTTTTTTATTTTACAAATATGGTATTATTGACGCGGTGGTGATCCAATGGCAGATAAGAACATTGCTGCCTCAATCTCAATTCACAAGGGAATATTTCGCCGCCTTCACCACCGTATTTTTCGCCTGGCTCATCGGACCTTCTGAGGTAAGCAAATGGTGGGAAGTGGTTCATTTCTTTGTATAATCTGACAATGCCAATAATAAAGAAAGAAAAAACAAGGAGACATGATATAATGTTTTTTAGCAAACACTAACATGCATGAACCACGTGTGGCTTATGGCGATGTAAAACTTGTGTCATGGCTCATATATGCATATGATTTCCTTCTGATAAACTTTGTGAATGAAAACCTAACATTCTTATTGATTCAATGCCACAAGGTCCGGGAATCGGAGTTCGACGGACGGAGAGAAAAGAATGTCGTCTATGTAAAAAAGTGCAGGTAATTTTACCAACGCTCGCCATTATAATTTAAGCACTATAGTGTAATCCAAAATGGAGACCCACCTCACCAACTTAAGAAACTTTAATACGGTAAATAATCTGTTCCAATGATTGTGTGGAGGACTCTGCTATTTGTCCATTGCTATCATGATGATGGTCATCGTCGTCATCGTCATCCTCACAATCATCGTTAACATCGAATTCATCGTTAAAGATTCCATCACCCTTAGATCATCCAAGCAATCTGCTGATATTTGCTTTAACTTTTTGTAGGTTCCTGGAGCAGAGCAACTGTGCTGGAATGTGCATCAATCTCTGCAAGATGCCCTCTCAAGCCTTTATTAAGGATTCCCTGGGAATGCCGGTAAACATGGTTCCAAGTAAGTATACAGTCATTCAGATCGATGATCAAATAAATAAAACGGGAAAAATTGGTGTTAGAACAGGAAAAAGGGGGAAAAGAAAAATAATTCAAACAGTAATAGTTCTTGCACTAGATTGTGGAGCTCATGCTCATTATGTCAATGTAGGGCCTGCATGCTTCAGCACTTAGGGTGCAAAGCTGCAAGTGGACCCGTCCGACCTCAACCGAGAATACTAGCATGTAAAATAACAAAAAATGCAATGCATTATGCATACACAAAACTATGATGTTCATTCTTACAATCTATCTAGGCCGTAAATTTGGTATAACAAATCTTATGATTAAATTCCATGTATCGACTCGTTATGAAAGATATGCTGAATTCTTCTGGTTCCCATGAATCCAATCATTATTCTACAGCCAACTCCATATAAAATCACAATCTGCCTAGAAAATGTATCATTAAAATCATCAAAGCTTGAATATTATTCACACTTTCCACGTACCAATCATTCATGAGAAGTAGGAGACCGTTACTGTTTATGAAGCCAATCCATCGGAACAGTTAACAGAAGCTCTGATGCATTTTTAACTGCAGATTTTGATGATATGAGCTGCGAGATGATTTTCGGTCAGGAACCTCCAGCATCGATCGACGATCCGGCGCTCAAGCAGCCTTGCTACAAATTATGTAATGACTTATTTAAACTGCACTTTTATATGTACTTCCATCTTTTTATCATTGTGGTGCATAGTACAAATCTCAAATTTGGTCCTTCAACTTGGCAAACTCAATGCTGTTCCTAGCACAAATGAGCTTTCATGAGTGCTTGATATGACACTGGAAATTGTATTTCTGACCAAAACTATCCTTTTTCTAAATATCATATGCAGGTAAGGCAAACCAAATGCACACAGTGAAGAGCTCCGGCCAATGCATTTAGGGGAAACGGGAACTTTAACAACGGTTTTCATCGACGACAAAAGTTGACCTGAAAATCTTTTCATTATTGTTCAATACAAATACTTGTAAAATACTGAAAACTTTCATTTTGAAATTCACATCCTCCCATACTACATTGTAACTTATAATTACTTCAGTGCAGCAAAGAAAAAGCCTTTTCTTTTCAAGAAACTCCATGCAGACAGATTATAGAAACTAAAATGTTGAGAATTTCGGTAAGCTCTTTTGACATTTTAGATAGTCACAGTAAAATACTAAACTAGCGTCATCTTTCATAATTCAAACATGAAAATACACTAAGAGTATCGATCTCGAACGTAAACATAAACAACCGTATAAAAGGAATCTAATAGGAAATTTTGGGCGGTAAAAAGTAAAACAATACAAAGGCACTGAAAGAGTGTTAAAGAAGTGCAGAACTAAAATTGGCACTGAGATGTTCACAGAACTAATCTTTCATTAAGGTGTAATATTCAAACTCAAAATATATTGTCTTGAAGAAAGAAATGTAAATCTCAGATAATAATAGTAATGGCTAACCAGCAAAAAAGAGGGAATTTAGCATTCCAAAACTAAGAATTAGCATCCATGCAGACACTGGCTAAAGAAGCAAACAAGGGAAGCTTGTGCTCAAAGTTATACAAGATTAGAGGTTGATATCATAAATGATAAGGACTATTGGTATTATAGAAATTGGAAGCTCTTTGATCTAAGTTGTTACTTCATACTGTTACTAAAGACAGCTTCATCTTAGAAAATTCCACATGGTGTTTTAAGAAAGATTCAGAAGATTATGAATTTTGCAGGAAGAGTTTCATTCACATGCTCAAAACAAGAATGTCTATTTTAGGCCTCGGTTAATAAAAGTAACTCAACCATTCCGTTGACAATAGAAATTATCAATGAACCGTTTCTTAATCACTTGACTACTACTGCCATGCTTAGACCACTGATAAGCATCATGGCACCCTTCAATTTGTAAAAACCAACATAGTTAGCATTTCCTTATGAATGCTCAGAGAATACACTCACCAAAATGCACATATTACTGGAGAGCTCCCCCTCTCCCCAACACACTAAAAAGGGGTTCTCGTTAAGGTTCGACAGATTTTAAAACGGATGGTTTTTTCCCCTTCTTAAGACCGTAATAATTCTTGGCAAATTCCATAAGCAGAGCAATGGATACTCTAGAGTTTTCTTTGGATCTTTTGATGAGGGGTTTGACCATGATGATACACTTCCAAATTAACGCTAATGGAAAAGCCAACTAGCTTTCCTATTAGGAGAAGTGTTTTTGACTGAAAAATCATTGTAGGCTTTAAGGTCAGCAAGGGTGGACCAGTTGTGTCTCCCACCTTAGGTGCTGCCAAGTGAGCAATCTAAGATTCTTCTGCTTTCTTTTCTGTCTCAATGAGAGAGTGACTGGTAGACCCACTTTCCCCTTGGAATTTAGCCGAAAGTTAATTCCCTTCATAATAATATTTTGAAGTTAATTCGCATTCAAATACAAGACAGTATGAACAAGTGGGTGGACAAAACATATTGGTGACCAGGAAAGAGATTTGTGTCACTCTAAGATGACAATATTTGGATTTCAATAGCACAGAATGTGAATAAGAACTGATATGGGAATCATCAATATGCCAACCAAGCTAAGATATTCAAAATGAACTATAACCGGACATGTAAAGCTCGGTTACTGAAGAATGTACTTAGTGGCTGAAACTTCTAAGAATTTGTCTGGTGGTTGCTCCTTTTGTGTCATCTCTAGTCTCTTGCTAAGATATTTTGACACTTTATGAACTCCACTAGATGGCCTATATTTAAATTTTCCTTCTATATTCACAGTAAGGGCCATAAGATCACTGAAAAAAGTTAGTACTTAGCACTAACAACACAACTAATGGAACAATAATCAAATGCTCGTACTGATTTCCAGATGACAATCAGTGATTTACATCTCCATATTTGCTTTAAACAACAGATAGACTAAAAGTGATGTCATTTTTGACAAAATATAGTGCTTCCAATCATATAAAAGTAGAAAGCAATTAATTGGGTCACCATGATCAAAGCTCATTATTCTATACATAATTATATTATATATATATGTATATTCAAAACCCCATATTTTGAATTCCAAAACCTACTGTGAAGTGACTTATAAAGAAGAAAAAAACAACAAAAATGTGATGCTTTGAAGTTTCCACTATATCTGGACAACGAAGGATGAACACAAATTAGAAAGCAAAGGTCAAAGAAATTAGACTTTATGTTAAAACTCTCCAATTCATTATAGCTTCAACAATGCAATAATAATAATAAAAAATGAAAGAAATACTGGAAGTAGCACCTGAGAAGGGGAAAACAATGTAGCCTAAATCATTTGGATTAAAGCAAATCAAGGCCCACGTTCCAATGTCCACCTGGTGATGCTAGCTCGGCCTGTATAATTTTAATACATAAAATTTTCAAGTTGCTCGTGAGCTTTTTCGAGTCAAATACAAACAATTCATTTCGGTTTATTAAAAACTCGAGTCGAAGTTCAAACTTGAATCGAATATATTTGAGTCGAATAAATTATCGAACATTGATCAAATTGATCTAGCATAGCTGACCATCTATCTCATCTTATTTAACATCGAGAATCCAAGACGATAGATGAAATTTCTTAGCGTGGTTCAATCATCCAGCTATGGAATATTTTTTAAGAAAAATAAGTGACAAAGATAGGGTTAGGACAATGACAAGAATTACACTCAGATCAAAGACACATGCACAAAAACAACCATTCGTAATGTCATACATAAGAAAGGTATATAGGAGCAGCGGCACATGGCCAGTTAATTGAATAAAATACAATAAAATAATAAAAAATAGAATTTATAAAAATGATTATTTTTCTTCAAATTACAAAAATATATAATCTAATTATTAAATAATAAATAAGAACTCGACCAACAATTTAAAAATTATAAACACAAGACAAAAATTATTGGCGTTGATGATAAAAAATAAACATCATTAAAATTAATATTAAAATGTATGATTGAAAGTCAATCTAAAATTAGTGTTGTTCTTACTACTAAAAGTTGTTATAAAAATTAGGGTAAATTATGCATTTAGTATCTAAACCATCAATTTTAATCTGTTTTAGTATCTAAACTTTTAATTTTATCAAAATCATACATGACATTTAGTTTTTTTTTTTCATTTTAGTACCTCATTATTAAAAACTTAACGCATTTAGTACCTAAACTATTAGTTTTGGTCCGTTTTAGTATCTAAACTTTCAATTTTTAAAAAAAAACTTAACGTTTAATTTTGAATGTGGCTACTAAACTGAAACAAAAAACTAAACTTTAGGTTTGGTTTTGAAAAAAAATTGAAGTTTAGGTATTAAACGCATAATTTATCCAAAAATCAATAAACAAACAAGAGGAGAATCTGGACGGTAAATTTAAATAATTTTAGTGTCTTTTTTGTTTTTATAATTCCGAAAAATTATAGTATATTAGTAGTTAAAAGTGGTTTAAAACCGAAAGGTAAGAGACAGGTGCTGCTATTATTGTTTTGAATAATGTGAGACGGTATTACTGTTATTGTTATTCAGGTAGGCCTAGCTTTATCAACAGTGAATGGCTAAGGCCTGGTGATAAGAAGGACCAGCCATGTAAAATGGGCCACAAGGCCCTCTGATGTGATTAAAGAAGAAGATGATAGTGGACCGCATCTAGTTTTCGCTGTTACATTAAACCCCACGAAACTCGGCATTTCATTTCCATTCAGTGTATTATTGCATGAATACATGCCATTCCACGACAAAACAGTAACACATTCATTGATGTAATCAAAGCCTTGGTTGGCTTCTATCATCTCTCATAATTGAGGAATAAAAAGGTACACGAATATAATTGAGAAAATTTTAAGGACTAGTCTAGAATAAGAGTCATAGTTTGAGGATGAAATTAGAATATTTAAAAGTTTAAGGATCAATTTATAACTGTTGCATTCATATGTCCTGTATTTGTTTTTTGTTTTCTAAATCATTCAAAGACAATGTTGTCTTGCGTCGTGTATTAACGAGATTACGCCAAACGTAACTGTATTTTAATTTTTATTAATTCATGTAGTAAGGGAACATCATTTTTTAAATAAAACCGATTGAATTGAATCATCTTTATTGAGTTAATTATTTTATAATTAATAAATTCAAAAAAAAATAGCTGACCCTTATTCTCATATATAATGGGATGAGGGGAGGTAAGATAGTAGGTTGCCCCCAACGCCAGGTTGAGAACAACTTCCGTGAGAGACCTCCATATTATGAAATGCCCTCCGTTGGACTCGATCCCACAACCTCAAGATTAAGAACCTTGTGCTCTACCAACTGAGTTAGATGGTCATTTCATAATTAATAAATTCACTCTTTTCAAATATGTAAAATTCCATTCTTTTAGACAACGTATAATCGTGGGTATTAATTTTGGGCGGTCTAGGGGTGCTCACCTTTCTCCACGTGTATCCGACTTCTGGATTCATGAAAATGAGTTTCTGGTAACACGCAGATTGATTTTTTTAAATTATTTTAAAAAAAGACGTTTTTAGGTATTCGACCTACCTAACCCAAAGATCGATGACGACTCTAAATTTCAAATTAAATAAAAAAAATTACATTTTTCATAATAAAGTTATAATTATTTTAAACTTAATTTAATAGATAAAAAATGGTTATGACACTATGAGCGTCAACTGAACTAAACACTTCTGTGACCCGTCTAGCATTCCAACAAGCTATGTTTGGGCACGTGAAATCCCACGGTGGATGGGATCGGGGCTGCCATCAACATACGAAGACTCAAGTTGGACTCGGGAAGACCCGCCAATGAAATCCATCCCGCAAAGATATCATGGCTGTGTGAACTCCTTGCCATGCAAAGGAAGGTCGGCCGCCCAACCGTGCTTGGAAAATATGGACACCAGGAAAATACTTTGCCATGAGCACCCTGGCCAGGAGACAATTAGGATCATTAACGCAGCGCCACACTTGTTTACCCAACAGTGCAATATTAAACTGGCGTAAATCAC